GTTTGGCTCAAGATTGTGGGAAAAAGGGGCGGCTGCTGTGTTCTTTTTTATTGGACAATATTGGAACCGAGACATACCTTTCGAGGAATCGACAGATGCATCATGGTCTGATACAGTCCAATCCCTGAAGCAGCGCATTCCACCAAGTGAACCACTCCAAATTCGCTGGCATAACCCCAAGATCTTGCAACATACTATCTCCAAATTGAAACCCCATAAAGCACCAGGCATAGATGGATGGAGAGCAATTCCATTGAGCGCCTAGCGCACTTCTGTACGCAATTAGACACCCATGCCCACACACAATTGGAATGTCCACATTTCCAGGTAATTAGAGACAACCATCCAGAAACCATAAAACATTTGCAGGCAAATCCATACATGTTGTATCTGCCACTGCCCATTCAATTTGAGGCGATGCCCTAAGAGATCCAGAAGGTCTACCCAGCCAAGGTTCCCCTGTTGAAATGACGGCCCACTGGCCTTTCTTCACCGCCTTGGACATGTTGGGACCCGATTTGGGGATGCTCTTTCCTGGAAGTCCAAGACAAGAGTCAAATGACGGTCTCTTTTTGTGACCCGAGACGAGGGGAATTCCCTTAACTTTACTTAATACCCATACACTCCATGGGACTGCCATATATGCCGATCAGTTGGGGTGGTTTTGGGGGTCAATGTAGTAATATATGGCATACATGGAGTGTATGGTGTAGGTGCCAAATATCGTCGAACTGGACTTCTAGGCTCCTTACATACTCCTCCGGCATGCGGCCTGCATCGGCCGGGATGTTTTAAATTGTGGTTCCTTGTCCCGGTGGGTTGAAGATGTCTCTATTCTTCCTGTCCCAAACCTACTTCCAAGGCTTTAAGAGACACATCAAAACACATTCGAACCATTTCAATACGGTGTGTGGAAGTGGATTCCACCTCAGACTTCCCACTCCTCCCTCTTCCCCAGACGTGCCATGTTTCGAGAGAGCCCCAAAAAGACGCACCAATTTCTGCTGGTGCGTGTCCGAACCAATTGACTCCAAAAACAGATAGGCGTTTTTTTGGGTGCCGAAATCTGGGGTGCTTGCTTCGCGCGCGCGCCGCGCACCCGGCGCCCCGCTCCTGGACCTGCGAGGCCTTGATCTACTCCAACGGAACCCAAGTGCCTAGCTGGGCCTTGCAGAATGCCGGCGCCGGTTCCCAACACGCGGTGCGCAGACCCGGGGGGTTTTCGCCGCGCAGAGAAGGCGGTATTTCGGAGAGAGGGGGGGGAAGGGGCGCCGTCCATTTGCTGGTTCAGGCTGGTGATACTTTCCTATAGTTTTCCCTTTTGTTGGGGGGCTCTTCTGGTGCTTCCGCAAGTTGGTGACACTAGTTGAACCACAGGACTTTGTGCGCAGTGTGCGCTGGTGTTTGTTGAAGAAGCCTCCAGCGGCCACAAAGAATCCACTGTTCAGCACCGCCGCTGGTGGTTCCATGCGCGGCCGCTTGTGTTTGTTTGTTCGGACAACGTCAAGAGGATGGGTTTTGGCTTCTGCGTACTCCCAGTCTTTCTGCCAAAGATTACGTCAATAGGCCAGGCCTGGACACTCGGTGTATCCGAGTATCCTAATTTGTGCCTATATAGCATCGATATTATACGGCAAAGTCCGACCAGCACCGATGCTTCCAACAAAGAAGACCACCGTCTTTCGTTGTAGCAAGTCGCACCAAGTCAGTCCTATCCCCAGACGCTCCGTGAGTTCCCAGCCCTTTCCTGGTCCCGAACCAAACCAGGGCGGGTGAGAACCCCAGACCCCTGACCAGTTCGGCTTCGACCGGGTCCGACCCCTCCATCGCTTCAGGGCCTGACTCGGGTCCGCGCTCGGACGTCGCCCTTCGCCGTTCAAGCACCGCGGCGGGCAGACTCTCCCGCTGCGAAAGGCGCCGTGGGTGGTGCCTCCTGGGCCTCGAGTGATTTTCCTCTTCCGCTACGTCACCAAGCTGGTGATTACCTTGGCTGCGCCGGAAGGCGGGGGCCGAACTAGCTCGTGGCGGGGTCCGAAAGGTCTGCGGGTCAACCAGTTTGTGAGCCATGTTCTGCGAACCTCAATGAGTTGGGTACTGTAGAGGATACTGTATAAATATACCTATAGGCCGTGTACAAGTCAGAATTATAGTAAGTGAGTTATTTGGACGAAGATGTTGTAGCAGAGACAGTAGCAGAGACGGAACAAAAACATCTTTCCACCTTCATGAATTCAGCAAAGAAGAGGACGTTCCCCACAAGTTCAGCAACATCAAGAGGAAACAAAGAGGTCTTTGGAACTTCCCGATTTCAATGCCAAAAGCAACTAAATACACTGGTTTCAGAGTAGAGTAGATGGCATCCAAGTTGGGAGGCTTATATGGGCACCCATCAAAAAGACATTTTCTGTACCATCTCTGAAACAACTGCAGGGAGCTACGAACGTCACAAAGGGGCATCGCTACTACGAACGGAGCGATCGGACGCTACGAACGGGGCTCCCTGGCTCAGGTGGCCACACCTTCTACATCTCCTTGCATTCCCCCGACGCGGAGGCAAGCTTCGCATCTGCGCATGGTCCGCGCCGGTTCGTGCGCGATTTGCGGCGCTTTGCGGTGTTTTCGGGTCTGGAACTTGAGGCGTTGATGCGCATGTAAAGGGGCGGAAAGAAGACATGTGTATCATGTGTATCCGTTTTTGGGGTTACGGAGCCCTAATATGTCAGATCTTTGGTCTTGGAACGATTCATTAGCACTACTCGCATCCGTCCAGGTGTTTTCACCACCACCACCCGGTCTGAAATTGGGTCACCACCATCACCACCACTCCGTCGTCGGGGCCGGTTGGTTTCCGTCTCTTCGGACCCAACCCAAAAGGTCGAAGATGAAGTTCGTTCTGCACATTCTGACTGGTAGGGATCGTAGGGAATGAGGGAATGAGGGAAGAAGTTTCGCCCCCAATTGGAGAGTACTTATTCGGATCCAGCCATTCTGACGATTCCTTCCGTGGGGGATGAGGGAATGGTTCTGCCGCCGGTCTAGAGATTCGGATCCAGCCACCCTCATTCCCTACGAGTCGCACTCTAGCACCAGTCCTTGCTTCTTTCATTTCGCCCGACCCTTCGTTCGCACCCACCGAAGACCAGGCGAGCGAAGACCCCGAAGCGAAGAGTTCAACGAAGCGTACGACTGGCGGCCGACGCGTAGTGAGTCAGACGAAAGGGAACGTCACCGGTGATGCCCGTGGAGTCCAAACCCCAAAGATTATACTTTAGAGTCTATATGGACAATATGGTGTCAGAATCTTTCAGACTAGATGGCACAGACACCAAGATTTACCTGAAAAGATAGGGTGTCCATATAATCCAGCAACATGCTTCGGGTCACTTTGGCACCGCTTTGCCGCTCCAACTGGTCTTCCACACGTAGGCACGACGCTTCGCAGCATCCCGTGAGCACCGTCGCGTAGCAAACGCGCCGCGCCGCGCCAGGCGGCGCCGGTGAGTCTGTCGCAGTCGAAGCCCATCTTCTCAACGCCAGGAGAGTCTGTCGGCTGGTGGGGGTCTTTTTGCCAGACACCACTGGCACATCATTTCTACCCCGAAACCAAACCCGAAACCTTACCCGAAACATTGACAGTGGATAATCATCCTGTTTGTCCAGGACAATGGGAATCTTCCGCCATGCCATCCACTTGCATGATGGTTGGAGGGTACCACTTGCTCTTTTTGGACTTGTTCTTTTGGGTACAGATCCTGAGGCCATTCCTTTTGTAGGCCTACCTTGACTAGGTAGATAGCCTTTCACATTGTGGACTGGTTTGAGGTTTAGGGTTTTCCCACTACAAGACGATGTCAAACACTTTCATCCTCCGCTCCCTGAGGGTCGTACCGAAACTGAGGCTGGTTTTCACATGAAACTGAGGAGATGTGACCAGACCAGCGGAGGATGGTGGAAAACAGGGTGGTGAACCTGAAAACTGAGGGAGGAAAGGTACGGAACCTGACTCTCGTCAGCGACCCGAAGAGCGACCCGAAGCTTCTGACGACGGATCGAGGCTGAGGTGAAACGGCCAACGTTGACCCGGGGTTTGAACCCCGAGGTGGATCTGTTTTGTGAACGGGAGTGGGTGACTCAGGGTCTGAGGCTTGGTGGTTTTGTTTCGTTGATCCCAATAGCGATGGCCTCCAACCTATAGGAGCTATGACCTCCAACCTAAGGGCGACGGCCTCCAACCTAAGAGCGATTGGCCTCCAACCTACGAGGGATGGCCTCCAACCTCATATGGTTTTCAACTACCCTTGATTTAGCGCATCGTACCCAACCATTGATGATTTTGTGCACAGGTTCATTTGGAGAGGAGATGAGGCCGTGGCTCAAAGAACGCAGAGCAAGAACTTGCATGAAGTGTTCTTTTGTCGGTGACACTAAAGTGAAGTTCATGGTTTCCCACCAGCTTTCTAAGGCTTTTTCAACATGCTAACCTATCAAAGACCAGCCAACAAAACCCATCAAAGCCTTGAGTTCATGACCCACGGCTTTCGCACTCCAACGCCATGCTCTCTCGTTGCACCCGCGCCCACCCGCGCGCCTCCACGCGCCTCACCTTACCGCCCCGCTTGGGGAGTCGAAAGCCAGGTGAGGAGCGGAGTGGGGCTGGGCCATGGGGACGGGGAATGGACGTGTTTGGCTCGTTTCGCGGCCCAAGACGGAGCCGAACTGGGTGGCTTGGCTAGGGCGGAAACCGGCGAAACAGGGAAGCCTGTTTGAGGTCTCACGGTAGTGGATCACCAGGTCACCTGGGAGTGGAGAGTGGAGAGTGTCCCACTTTTCGCGGACATCCAGGTGGACATCCTTTTGGAATCGGCTCGGGGGTGTTGGCTAGGGCCCTGAAAAGGGCTTTCAGGGGATCGAAGCCATGTGAGCGCTGGGGTCGCTGGCTTGGGTCGCCGCTGGGGTCGGCTGCCGAGGCCTAAGGCAACCTGGAACAGTTGGTGTTGAGAGATCAACAGTTCATCATACTGTAGACCCCCCGTCAGAAAAAGATTGAAACATAAATCCGTACCTAGAAATGTAGACACCATGCCACGGTCGTCTATTTGGGGACCACTATAGGCTTGGAGCCTTCAACACTCCTCATGTTTCAACACTCCTCACCGCTGCCCCTGGAGGGATCAGTACGATAGATCAGTGACCGCGATCAGTCGTTTCCAGTCGTGGTCAACCGTCGGTTTCGGGTCCGCGATCAGTTCACGGTAATAACGTTTGTGGAGTGTCAAACCTTGGAGATCTTGAACAGAGTTTGTCTGACTTTTGGTTGGTTTGGTTTTGTTGGTTGACAGTCTACAGATGTCTACAGTCTAGTATGCGATATACTTGTGCCACTTGCAATATCACTAGCATATGATATAATATATTGTACCATATTTATCAATGTGTGACATTGTGAGATATTGCAATCTTTGTATATAATATATAATTGTTACTGTGTGGTATCTTGGAATTGTGTGTTGCGCAGCTGTTCATCGTTGAACCTTTTCCAGAGGTTCACACAGCTGCACACAGGTGCACTCCTGAGCGGGAGATGCTGACCCGATACGCGTTTCGTTTCTGCTCACCTTTGATAGGAGAACATTGGATGCTATTTTGTGGATAGTTATTATCTTATACCGACCCGGCCTACGGACCCCTTCATGGAATGTGAAGAACAGGTTTCGTCGTTTCAACCGACGCCGCGAGGTGGTGAATGGACCGAAAGGGGCTCCTATAGCTGTTTTTTTTTACACTTCTTCAGGACCTGTGTTTTGTTTAGCTCCCAGTTGCACGGATGGCAGGTGTGAATCACCAACTTCACTCCTTCCACTGCTTCCGCCACACCGCGTGTCCAGCCGCGGCGCGGAACGCGTGTCCGGCGCTGTGCGGCGCGGCTGCGTATGGTGCCGCGCGCCACCGTCGCGGAGCGGCACGGCGTTCCGTGGACCGGCGTGAGGGAGGCCGGGGCGGTGGGGAGGCCGTAAGGGAGCATAAATGGAGAGGGAGGAACATGGCAGTGATGCTTGAGGTATAAAGTAGACTCTTAAGTGATGCCTGTTCATTTTATGGGGAGTTTGATTCAAGAATCAAGAGTCTACATTAGGGTCCGAATTGATGAGCTTTTCTTGAAATGTTCACAACAGAGCCCTTCTCCCAACCCTCAGAATTCGGGTCCTCAAACACATAGCAGCTGGCTTAACACGGAAGGCCCGTGTTCCCCTGTGTCGGGCGGGCGAGCAGGTCCTCATCGCTCCCCCGCACGGAAGACTCGTATGGGATGGGACCAAAACATCCAACGTTCGAGGTGGGGAGCGAACCCGAGGATAGTTCGACTACTCTTCAGGTGAGGGTACTATGCAGGTGACGGTGCTAGTTTCTTCAGGTCACTTGGCTACCTCTCTGAGGATGTCAGGATCGAACGACCTGCGAATCGATCTCATCCGCTCCGTTCGACTTCTGCCGCACCGAGTCGGGCGAGGTCGAACTCGCCGGAACGAGGGACCGGCGGACCTCGGACGTCCGAACCTGTGGACCCCGGAAAGATGGAAACACCTCAAAAGGACCTACCCTTATTGGTAGGTATATTATATCTATTTATATCTTCATAGTTTGTTTTCTTATTTTTCATACAGTACCCACAGCTACGATCCACTGCACGAATTCAATGGTCAATATTTGGGATTCCCAATGTCACGAGCCCTACTCGTGCTTCGGTAAAGGTGGGGAGCCCAACTGGTGTGGGGAGCCCAACTTCCGTTTGGTAGCCACGGGCATTTTGGCTCTATATTTTGGCCGTTTGGTCATAGGGTCAAGAAAAGCATTTTGAGGTTATCGCACCCGGTTTGGGCCATGCGCATGGTGTTCGAAGCACCTCTTGCAGGGTTCACTCTCTTATTCCAATGATTTAATGTAGACTCTAGACTCTTAAATAATAAGTCACCCCATATGAACTGGTTTGTCATGTAAAATGTCGGGTTTATCAATCAAGAGTCTTATTCACCATGAGATCTACATTCTTGGAGTCACCAACAGGTACCAACCATCCAGTCACCACATGCTGAAGTCATTCCACCATTTTGCCCAAGAGAATCTCTCATGGCCTGACCGCCCTGACCTCTCAGTCAGCACCCGCACCCGCGCTCTGTTTGTCTCGCACACGGGGCGGCTCGGCCAGGTGAGGTGGTCTCGCACCATGCTCTGCTGGGCCTCCCTGAAGGCATCGCCGATGTGTCGGAGATCGAGCGGGCCTATGCCGCTGCACGCAAGATGGCCGAGGCACGTGGCGTTTCCAGGTGGAGCGAGCGAAGGAATATGTGGGTGGCTGGAGTGGAGGAGGGACGCCATGGGAGGGCATAGAGGAGAGAGGCGAGCATTTGCTTCTAAATACAAGCAGGTAGCTTTTACAATGATTGTTGGAGGGAGAGGAGCATTCTTTTTTGTAGGACGTCATTTTCTCAAAGAGGCCAAGCAGTGGAGAAGTCTGCAGCGTTTTTTTTCACATGTTTTTCGTATGTGAAAAAGGGGACCCAGAATCACACACTGTGTCCAAGGTGAATGAAACTTCGGTGGGTTGTGGCCTCCTTGGCTAAAGTGATTATTAGCATCCACTTCCTAAGAATCCAACCCCTAGCCCGATGGGTTTGGCCCCCCTCCGCTTGAATGACAGTCACAATGGGGTGCCGACCGTGACCAAATCACAAGAATTGATGAAGATCAACTTGAACATGGACCTGTTATGACCTGTTAAGGATCATTTTTTTGGGGGGGCCCAAAAAGCGTTGATGAACCTCCAGAACAACCTACTTTAGGGGTTAACAATGAAACTGTGATGAAGAAAACACAAAACCACATAAAACCTACACTATGCTTCTAAGACATGTCACCTAAGATGGGCCAAGCTTTTGTTGCTTGGAGGATTTGGGATGCCATTCACTGCTTGGACCGTCCACTCCGTTTGGTGCCGACGCAGGAGCTGCCGAGCGAGAGCCTGGCGCCTTGGACGACCGACCCAGCGTGGCCGAAAGCTGACGGTGCCACCGCAACCGCAATCGTCGGATCGTTGTCGATCAGTCGATCGGTCGGGTTGAAAGATCAGTCTTTGGGCAGATTTAATCCAGGTGTGTTCTGTGTACACGTCGTTTTGGGGTTGTTCCTCCGATTCGTTTGGACACACACTCGATGTCCAAAGCTCAACCTCAGCCGATGTCCAAAGCTGGTAGGTGGTTGCCAGAACTCGTTGAAGTCCTGATTTCGTGGATGGCTCCATGAAAGCTGCAGCATTCGCAAACTGGGCCTGGAAACCACGGGATGGAGGGCAATCCTTCCTTCCAGATCTTCAAGAGTATGCTTCCTGAGACTGTTTGGGTCCCGATGTTGAGGTGAAGGAGCTGCACGAGGCCTATCAAGCCGTGCTCTCGGAGGCGCGGATTGTGCATCCCGCTCATGGCGGGCTCGGTTGAAAACTGGGTCGCTGGATGAAGACGCATGGGGGCGGCAGAGGCAGGGGGTACCGGGTAGACGAAGAGCAGTGGGCAGGTGGAAGTTGCTATGCAGTGTGTTCGGTGTGTTGTTACAATCCCAAGTAGATTCATGTGAACAAAAAGACGTCCCACGCGGCTGACGGCGACGGGCGGCGGTGGGTAGACGACGCAAACCAAACTACGGTGCAAAACATGCAGTTATAAGCTTGAGGAGCTCAAAGAGACGAAGCCATATAGCTGGAAGAATTGATACCGATCAGTGGACCTCTGAAGCACCATTGACATGGTCGCAAGGCGCCTTGCGACCGCAGACAGGTTCTTTGAGGTGATAATGTCGACATGGTGCCTGATCCCCTGAGGTCTCCAGTCTCTCAAGTTTTCTATCTAGAATAGACCAGATCTACACTCCCTGGAACTAACATGGTTACGTGGAGAATGGCCCCGACAGGAAGACCATTTCCACTACAAACAGGTGGTGAACTCCACTTCCATGTTAGTTTTCGGGAGTGTACTAGAGAGGTCAAATGACCCAGCTGTTTTCTTTTTTTGAACTTCAGGTTTTGACGTGTCATGTCTATCCCTCAGGATCCAGGACCATCCGTTTCTACTCACCTCCGTTCGACCATCCGAAAAGGAGCGGATGGACATGGACTGTGTGGCTGCAATAGTTCCATTGTTCTCTACAAAAAGGGAACTCCACGAAACCATGTTGCTGGAGGGAGGGAACAAAAACATGTCTGTTGAAATAAGAGGGTCCGATCCTTTTCACACTCACATATCCTTTTTCACATCCATCGACTGCCGCACGAACACATCCATCTTTGTAGGCCAAACGCTTGGACCAGACTTATGGAACCTGCAGCTCCACCAGCGACGGCAGCTCCGCAGGCGACGGCTGTAGCACCAGCTTCTGCTTCTGCAGCGCCACGGGGGCAGCTTGCCGCTGAGGCGAACGTGGTGCCTGGTAGCTGCTGGTCATTGGAGGAATGGGAATGGGGCTGGATTCCTCTTGTGAAACTCAGAGGTATACTCCCAGGAACCTGGAGGTACATGGAAGTGAAGCCGTGTTCAGCCTGGAAAAATCCCATGATGGAAGAAACCCCAAACAGGGGGGTGTTCACTATGTTCACTCACACGAAACCGATGATTGGGTGAACAGGTGTTTTTAAATGGCTGTGAGTCAAAACCTCCCTTACCAAACCATGGGAGGTTGACAGACATCCCTTGTAAAGGGATCTGTTCATTTTCAGTGGTCAGCAGGGAGCCCGGGTTTTGAACCACAGCCAAATGCCTTTTGGGTAGTTCGGCCATGTGGTGGGGGAGAAAGCAGTGGGGGCGTCTTTGGCCTGACCGAGCTTGCGCGGGTGACCTAGCTGGCTCGCTACATGACGGATCTTTTGAATGGGGAGAAAGCCTCCAGCCCAAGGAGTAGACTGATCATTGACATGGTCGTCGTCTTCCAAACCGAGCCCGTCGTCTTCCGGCGTCTTCGAGAACGGCGGAGGAGAACGGTCTAGCCTGGGGGTCGCGAAAAAGACCCACATGGTGGACTGGTCCAACCGACCAGGTGTTTCTGAAAACAAGGTTGATCAGTGGGTCCCTTTCGATACTCTCAGGTGAGGTAGTGACGTCTCGCGAAAACGAACACGTCGATGAATTCATTTAGTAGATCTATCAATCTATCATACGACTGATCACCAGTGGTTGCATTGGTACATCTTACAGAAAGCCCAGAAAAACCCTTTGTGGACTGAGAGTGATACCATGGTAGATCCTGGAATACTTTTTTGAGGTGACTTACTTGTTTCTAGTTTTTGCATTTGGCTCAGGCGACCCAACTCGCTATTTTCTACCGGAAATGGAGGTAGGCCAGGAGCCGTAGGGCAAGGTCAAGTCTAACTTAGGGAGACTACTTGGGCGTCGAACCAGGGAGACTATTGCTTGGGAGTGCCTAAGTTCCATCATGTTCCATCACAGCACTCGCTCAGGTCAGAAGGTGTTCCTGCAAACCTTCGGATGTCAACACAACCAGTCTGATGGAGCAGCTGGGATGAGCACGAAGCGGAAGAGAGACACTTGGGGAGGCGGAAGGGGATGGAAGGGGTGACAACCGTCCCCTCCACCTGACTTGGGAGGCTTGGGGCGGGGGGTGGTGGAAGGGAGTAGGTCTCGTCTCAGACATCTCCTGAAAGGATCGGAGGTCAGGACTAGGATGGTGTACTGGGTGAAGTCAAAAATGGTGACTGATTCCCCTGAAACGCCAGCACGAGCATGCCAGCAAACGCCAAGCAAATCCGCGTGACGTGGCACTGTCATGTCAAGTTGAGATTTGTGAGATATTCATATATATTCCACCTTTTGATGCACACACAGCTATGAATATGAAGAGCTATGAAGAGTCTTTTCAACCCGAACATGTGTCTTAATAGATCATTCATCAAAAGCGTCCACCAATCCAAGCGTCATCGAAGTGTCCGAAGCGTCCGCCTGGTCCGGACCGCTTGGGTGGACACAGCTTATGGTGGTGTCCTTGCTGGTGACCAACCAGTGCTGGACCTTGACCCGACCGACAGATATGGACAACAACGGTCCCACACGCTTCTCCCCCGTCGCGGACCGCGAACGCGAACGGCGAAGAACGAAGGCGGAGTCGGGAGACAGATGGTTCTGCCACTTGGAGCCCACCAAAGATATCCGGTGGTTTGATATGGTTTGATCACCGCGGGATGTCTTGGATGGAACCCAGAACATGTAAAAAGGACTTCATGGTAGGTACTTGTACCCATTTTAAATCCAGACTCTTAATCTACCTAGTCATGACATGACTCTCAGGGGAACTGGCAAGTGCAGGTGGTTCCCACTCCCCTTTTCCCACCAATCTGTTATGAAGATAGATCTAGACCCCAATAAGGAGGTGCTGAAAACAAACCCAACACACTGGCGCGCGGGCCGCTTGAGCCGACCTCCACCGAACCTGGTTTCGTCGGCACTTGAGGAGTACATGCTGGGACAGTTGCAGGACTACGGCTACACCGTGGTGCAGGATCTGTAACCGGCCGTGGTGGAACCCGGGCAGCTTCGTCTCAGGAAAGGTCAACACGGGGGAGTAGATATCTGGGTCACTTGATTCTTTTCTGGTAAGTCACTTGTCCTTCTGGCGGATGCAACATCAAAGTGTGGCTTCTTTGAAACTACGGTCCAAAGTATGAAATAAAATATGAGGGTTTTACACATCTGTCCTTTGCTATGTCACAATGAAATACAATGAAACTATTGTCTATAGGGAAGTTTTAGTTTTCACCGTGCGAATCACCTTCTGATCTTGCAACCCACATCGGTGGTCAGACCAAGACGGCCCAATCTGCAATTTGGTGAGGCCGGGGGAGCCTAAGACAAAACGGAAGCGGTGTGAACGTCGCACGTCAGCAAGTCGATGTGGTGTGGGTACCCAGCACTCCTGCAGTCGCCAAGAAATCACGAAGGCGAGCGGAGCTCAGCGGAAGCTTTTGTTTACAAACTAGGGGAGGTCCGGAATTGAACTGAAAGGTCCAGTGACATGTATCATTGATTTTTCCACAATGTTTAAAGTGAATCCTTTTGATAGATCCCTTAAAACCATTCTGCGTTCTTCCACCAACAAAAGAGTTGATTCCCTTTTTGAACGCGAAGCAACGGTGACTCGGAATCAACATCCCGAGCTCACCAGGCACGACGTGCCACGACGTGCACCACGACGTTCACCACATTCAAGCAGAATGTAACCACGCCACCACCGCGATGGCGCGCGTCGGTGGACCGGCCGGATGACACCAGGTTGCCATCACTACATGACACGGAACACCGCGAAAGAATCCGCAACAAAACACGTGAATCATATGTTGTTTGCGCACGCCACGTCAGCTCCACCACAGAACTGGTCACGAGAATGTGAAGAAATCCACATGGCCATCCACAGCACAAATCACTACACACACATCTAAGTGATAGCAGATTCACCGCGTGAAGTGCACACTCATCGTGGCACATCGCCAAAGTTTGCAGAACGGCGTGGTTCTTTCCGGATACCAAGCACGATCCGGCTCCGTCCTGTGCAACAGTGGACGACTGGGCCTGGGCTGAGATTGATGTCCAGAGCCCTGTCGGGCGAGGTCCGGTCATGGCGATCTGTGACGTGGGCTGCTTGCAGAGGGTTCCCGCACACCTCAGCAAGCGAGATTGACGCATGACAGGCATGAAGTTCTCGAAGTCTCCACCAAGGCTGCAGCCAAGCACCACGGAGTCTCAGCCAAGTCACCGCTCTTTTCAACCACATTCTTCTTGCTGGTCAATGTGACCCGAGGCTTTCCCAAAGGCAGCTCGGTTTTTCTGTGACCCACACGGTGGAAAGAGTGCTGCGCTCGAAGGTGCTTCTGGACGAAGATGATGCCGAAGGAGGCCGAGCGCTGCTAGCGCGGCTTTTCGGTGAAGGTCCATCGGCATCTTCTGCGACTGGGCCGCGGCGGCCGCGTCGCAGCGGCGGCGGCCGCGTCGCAGCGGCGGCTCCAGTTCGCACGTCTCCAGGCCCCTTGAGCCCGACCTCCACCGGGTCGGGTGGCGCTGCTCAATACCCAGGGCTCCACAGGTGGTGACCTGGCAGGCTTTGGTTCCTGGTACTGTAGTAGTTCGGGCCTGTTCATCATTGCACGCCTGAAGAATTTGAAGAGCTGCTGCAGAGTGGCCTCCACCGGAGAACTGTTGTAACAGTCAGGCTTCCTGCCACAGCGCAAGCTGGTCTCCAGGGTTGGTAGCGCATGTTGTCACCTTTCCGTGATCACACCCTACAAACAGATTTGTTTGAAGACGTGTTCTTTTGAAGTTTTGTTTTTCGACCCACAAGGTTTCAAGTTTCAAGGGCCCTAGACAAAGGGACACCAAAACTTTAAATGGAACCCATGCTGCAGGACTCCTGTTGTATCCCCAGTCCACCTCTTCCAATGGTCGACATGCTTGGTGAAACGAGCAGACTGAACCATGAACGATATGAAAAGGAACTTGATGAACTTGAGCTATACACCACCAGTTGCCCTCAAGGGAAAACCAGGTCTTTCATGGTTGGCCAGGGGCCCTTGGTACACTCGTTGTGAGGACGTGGAAGCCTGCGATGTGTGCGTGGTGAACTCCTGCACCGTGAAAACGCCCTCGGAATCGCGGGGGCTCCATTTGGCACCTTGTCGGTCTTGATAAGTCGAGGCATGCTGACATCACCAGGGGTTAGTTTGGTGGGTTGGTGGGTGGCTGTATGGACCTGTGGTTTTTCTTTTTGGATCTGAAGTTTTTTTTAAACACATACTTTAAATAGAGTTTATACGAGTTTCTATGTCAAATGTTTAATACTGATAGACAGGTTCCTTGAAAGTTTGACACTATAGAAACTAAAGGAAATTAGACCCGATCCGGTATGACTTGATCATGTACAACGAAAACAAGCTAAAGTCCTCTTGATTTCCCACAAAGTCTTATAAGGCGTGAGCAGTTCATCACAAGACTTCAGCATTGACACCGTTTAGAAGGGGGATTAAGTATGCTAAGGGTAGGAGGTCCAGAACATGCACTAGATCAACAGGTCCAAGGGTCCAAGGGTCCAAGAAGTTGCAAGGTTGGAGAAGCGGTATTTGATTTTGAGTCAAGTTGCTTTGATTTTTTTTGTCCGAGGTTTTCTAGTCCAAGGTTTGGAGAAGACCTAGAAAACTTCTCTTGCTCACTGTAAGAAAGGCTGTCACAGCGGTGTCAGATCCTGGGCGGGTGAATCCCACGCACGAAGCAAGGACATCCACGTGATGGGCACGCTCGATTCAATTCAAATCGGGTAGTTCCCTTCCAAGACCTGAAAAAACCGTCCCCCAAAGCACGTTTGGAGGAGACAGTGATTTTGTGATAGTTTGTTGGGTGACCATTCATCCGGAGACCCGTGCCACGCCCAGGTGAACAAAGCTTCACAACTTCAGAAAGCTGTGGTGTTGGCAGGGTGTGTCCCTTCGGCCGACCAGTCATTGCCCAAGAGGCTTCCTCATGTCACTTCGATGGCGCTTTGGGGGCTTTGGGCGGCTGGGGCGCTGGTCCGTAAGAATCAGCTGCGAATCCTACAGTCCACCTGCCTGCAAGCATGTGCTGTTTGTTCTTTTTCCCATGCAGTCTCTGATTCGTTGTGGTTTCAATTCCATGACAGGCGAGGCACCCACAAGCTTCTCTTTAGAATCTGTTGGGCTACCAGGGCTCCTGACACAGCCAGAGGGACTTGCGCAACAGTGATGATTTGGAGCCAAAACTGTTGCGCACCTCTCAGGATCATGCGTACCATGAAATTCCAGACACCCAGCTCATATCCGGCCATGAGCTTGGGCCTGCCTGAAGGCACATCATTAATTCGTGGTTTTTGGCTAAGTGAGGACAAGTCATTGGACCAACCTTTATTTAAAGACAATCACATTAGAACATGCGCATGTTTAAACATCATGGTCTTCCGAACTTGAGCAGACGGAGTTCCCGCACGAGTTCTAAACCGGTCCCTCCAAAGGGGGCGGTTTCAGGCTCGACCAAGCCCTGCCGTGGGCGGGGTCGCCGCATCGGGACGCAGCCATGAGCGCAGCCAGCCGAGGTGAGCATGCTGGAAGTCTCGCAACTGGATCGTAGCTTGGGGATTGATCGCTATGTTTCTTGTTTCTTTTTGTCAGGAAAAGAAGATGTCGATTTACCAAGTCGATATAAGTTCTTCTCGCCAAGTTCGGGACAGCCAACAGTGATTGTTTCATGACATGCTTGTATGGGGTGACATCTTCGTATTGGGAGTGGCGATTGCTTGGATGAACAAGGAAAACCCAGGGATGATTGGACGGATCAGGTGGCCTTGCATTTGTATGCATTTGCGATGTTGGAACATATGGCAAGGATCAGAGATCACCCAGCACCTCGACTGGATGCTCCAGGTATAGAGAGGTGTCTTTTTGTTCGACGAAGGCCGTCCGTGACGAACGCCCGTCGGGAGCGTTTGGCGTTGCGAGTCGTTTTGTTTGTCCGAGGCATTGTGGAGGTGGTCGAAGAGGCGAGCAAAGGAAGAGTAGTGACCCTTTTGGAGAAGATTCTTGACTCAACTGATTGAGATTCAGAGTGATGTGTTTTCTGCTCAGGCTTTGGCTGCTTTAGGCGATCACACTGAGATTGTTTTGAAGGTCAGTCCATTGACCTGCGGTATGTTGGGGCAGTATATGTTTTTTGTCAAAGTATTTGGCTCACCCTTCCGCAGCTTGGTTCCAAATTCTTTGATTCGTTCCCTTATGGTTTTATGGCCATTCAAACTTCAAACCACTTCCGGAAACACCTACCACCAGCCATACCGCATCCCCACACGCATCCTCCCAAAAGCACCTCCCACACGCCTCGGACACCGCACCGACGGTGCAGCGGGTCGAGACCGCCTCGGTCTCCTCGGTCTCGACGCGACGAACCGACTCAGAGGTAGTGACCTGAACGAACGGACCCGTCACCAGGGGTACCCAACAGTCGGAGAGTCGAACGACGTCGGGTTCTTTAACTCAGAGGTAGCCAGTGACCTTACCCAGACACGACCAATGGGACTGCCATAGGACTGCCGATCAGGCCAGGGGTGGTGGTGCCAGGGGGGTCAACTGATCGGCATATATGGCAGTCCCATTTGTCGTGTCTGGGTCAATAGGACCCTACAGGGGTACCTATATAGGATATAGTCTATAGGGTTCTTCTACCTCTGCTGGAACTCTCTGGAGTTTGAGGGACCCTTCGGGTTGTTTCCACACAGCGTCCACGTCGGCCGAAACCGTCTTCGGTCGTCGCAGCGTGGTCCCCCCACGGGCGTGGTCCCATGGTTCGGCCGGACCAAGACGGTGGCCCAGATGCTCCGTGAAAACAGCCCGACCGGTCCCGAACCAAGCCTATAAGGATATGGTGAGAAACCCCAGACTTCCGAGGATTCGGGTCCGACCCCTCCATAGGTTCGGGTCCAGGGTCGCGTCTGGGTGATTCATAGCAAATCAATGGTTGTTTGGTTTGGAACGTGCGGACGCGATAGAATGATTGTCGAGACCGGACCCTTCCACACTGCAAAAACTGGGGGGGGTTCCAGAGATGAAAGAGGTGAGGAAACACATGGTTGTCCGAGCCATTCTACAAATGGTAAAACCAATGGTTGTCCGGTAGATGGAAAAGAGGTCTAGCATCTATACCAACTGAATAGTCTTTTCCACATGTGGTTGGATTGTATGCGTTCCGGACAAGAACTTGGACCCCTAGTTCAACGGCTGGTTTGTGGTACTCTTCTCTTCCAGGATTCCTTTTTCAGGGCGTCGAATTGTGATCCTCATATTCTTGATTCCCCCATTTTTGGGGGGTCTCCCCCAAAAAGAAAGCCCAGCATTTCTGACCCTGCGGACGAGGAAGAAGTCGGGCGCTACCTTGCCGTCACTGTCTTTGCCCAAAGTCCGGCAGGAGAGCCGAGCCGCGGCCCCTCCGCACGGCGGAGGAAACGTTTTCGGGTTGGGCGGGGAACACGTGGTTTCAGGGAGATTTGGGTGACAAAAGATGGAACGCACACTCTTAAGATTCTTAAGTATGCTGAACACTTGCTCGTGAGCTGAGCATGTTGATATATTCTTGTTGGCAATACTATCCCTATGAACCAAAGTACTCGTTAAACTTGTTCATAACAAATTCATTCACATGAACGTACTTCGCTGTGAAAGATCGTACTGTACTTGTCTCTAACCACCTTTAAATTAGTACTGCCCTAAGAATCAAGAACCCTCAAAGGTGAAGGTTTTGAGGGTCCAAACCCCTGCGTTCTGCAGGGTCCAAACCCTCCAGAAGTGGTCGGGTCCAATGATTCTTAGTACTAGGAGTGATCGTCGAGTAAAAGTTACTTCCAGGATCTTCTAGCCAAGAAAAACGTTAATTGGTGATACCGTGATCCACCCGTGATCCACCCTTGATCCACCCGTGATCCACCAATCCACCCGTGCACCGTGAGCAGACCCTGATTAGAGACTATAGTTAAACTTGATAGCAACTGGGTGTTTACCGTGATTCACCTGTGATTCACTCGTGAAACACCCGTGAACCACCATGTCGGCTGCCTGGAAGCGACGATGATCGGAGGAAGTGTACCAAAAGTGATTGGAGCGTATGTGCAGAGTGCAGCGAAATGGTGTTCTTCTTTCTAGCGCGACTTGCGGTCCCTGTCCGTCACGGCCTTGGGGGTCGGCAGGGCCAGTCGGAGGGGCATCATGGTCCCTTAGACGCGTCGTCTCACCGAATCCTTCAAACCATGTACTCGTTCAACTGGTCTTCCGGGTTCGCCGCCTTTGGGATTCGAAGCCGGGAACGACCCAGACACTCCATGGGACTGGAATATATGCCCCGGCATTGACCCCCCTGGCACCACCACCCCAACTGATCGGTATATATACCATACATGGAGTGTCTCTGTGAATTTTGTTTCGCGCGGTTTGTGGCTCCACGCGATCCCACAGCAGGACCGTTTGACTGAGATCATCACCATCAACGCTGGATGTTTGAACTTCTGTTGCTTCGATGCAATGGGAGGCAGGCATTTGTGGATGGCTATCGTGGCATCGTGGCATAGTTCTCCCCAGAAAAGTGCCAATCCCATACACTCCAAGGTGCCCCAAAACCACCCCAATGTAGGCATATATGGCCTACATGGAGTGTATGGGAATTTGAGGCGCAGTGCTCTTTCGTTCGGAAGACGGTTTTCCATCGTCGGTGACATCGGCGGCGACCGAGCACCGCACGGTGCGCCAGCCTCCATCGACCAGGACCCCACAGGGGTGGTGAATGCACACACCTTAAGTCTTTTTTTTCTCAGGGCTTTCTATTCATGGGCACCCTTGGGGTGTTGGTGAGGTTCAAGGAGGTTGTGATTTTTATATTAGTTGGATGCTCTTTGGCTTTGAAGAGACGCTCTCTGTGTGTCTGTACACTTGAATACCTGAGGAAGCCCGGAGGTCTCTGAAGTTTCTTGAACCTGGTTTTGAAAGAGACAAGTTCAACACGACTCAATCACAAGCCCTGGCTGGTCAGGCTGCTTAAAGCATGGACCGGGAGCCTTGTTTCCTTCCTGGCTTCCTTCCTTCCTTGCTCGCTTGCTTGCTCGCTTTCTTGCTTGCTTGCTCGCTTGCTTGCTTTCTTGCTTGCTGGCTGCCTGGCTTGTCCTGCTTGAGAAGCACCTCTCTCTCTCTCTCTCCCTACCTCCTGAGGCACCTATTGCAAGACTCGCCAGGCTCGCGGCGGCGTCAAGCAGCTCGGCTCCGACCAGGGCGCGATGCGGTTGGCTGTTCTGGTACGTGGGATGCTGAATTTGCATGAATTTGCCAAAAAACGACCTCGTGTTTGGTCCACCAACCACCCAAAAGATAACTTCCTATCAAAACAGAGGTCATGTCCGGGTTCCAGGTATAGAGGTGGCCATCATCTTCCAAAGACATGATCGTGACGTCATGGAGTCATGCAGTTCCAACTGTCTCAATAATATGCGACCTGCAGTCGCTCGACCTCACCAGTTCGAGCTTTCATCCAAACCCATGCCAACTTCCTTTCTCAAACACTCCGTCGACCCACCCTTCGCGAGCGAAGGTCCTACGCGCTAGAAGACCTGGTGCAACGCGCGCGAGAGGCGGTTGCTGAGGGCGTGTGCCACATCGAATTGGCCTCGGAAGACGCCGGTCTGAGCCCAGACGCCGCGGTCGATGCCGACTGCGCATCGTGCATCCTCGGGTCCACGTGGTGTGGCGCCAGGACGAGGGGGGGGGATGGTTTGAGAACATGGATGCCATGCATTGGTCCGTGTTCTGAACCGCTTTCTAAAGAGAACAATTTCTATGGAAGGACCAGAAGGACCACGCTGTTATATCCTGTTTGGGTGTTCAATGGACGACCTTACACTAAAGTTAGGGAAGGACACCCAAACAGGATGGTCCAGGGAGTGACAGGGGTTCATTTTTTTGGTGGCTCGGACTCGTGAAAAATGGGTACTCGGACCCTCCTGGGACATGAAAAAGGAGGTCCGATCGACCGTGAACGGAGCTGTGGAGGTGTGGAATGTCGGTGGTTGGACCATGGACCGATCCTTTCCACCGAAGAAAAACACAGGGTTCCCCAGAAAACTCGGGCGCATGGTCAATAGGAGGTCCCTGGAAGCGGGGGCCCAGCAAAAAAGATAGACACATGGGAAAAGCCAAGAAGTTGGTTAGGAAAATTGTTTTTTTAAAATCCTCATTTAGCTCTTATCGATAAAACTGAAAAGAACCGTCAGATCGATGATCGATGGGACTTCCCTTTCCCTTTACAAAAGCAAAAACCCTCATTAAACTAGTTATTCAGAATAACTAGTTTAATGAGGGTTTTGACTCATTAGACTAGTTAACAGCTAAAGCTTTCAACAGGTGATGTTGCTGTGACTGAGCCTTCGATCTCAAGTTTTCAACTCTGAAAGTGATGACGACTACCGGTGACTACCAATGACTGCATGACTGCTCCATGTTGGGTCTACGGTGAAACCTTCAAGAGCCAATCTCTTTCCATCGTGATGGAATGGTTCGCAGGTCTTGCGATGAAGACATTGGCCATTGTATTTTTTGTTTGCCATGACATGTTTATTTGGATAGATGCCTGTGTGTGTTCTTAAAAAATTGCCGACAGCGGTCAGATCTTACACAAGATGGCCAGCCGCACTGGAATTACCATAAGTTGGTCAATTCACCTCTGGGACTCATCCTTGACGTCTCATTGAACCCGAGCATGACAGGTCCAGTCTCACCAAGGTCCCAACCTTTTGGTCCCAGTACTGTGACAAACTTCTGCAATGTAAGATGGGCACAGTTGGAAGTTGGAAGCCGTCCCCACGATTTGACACTGTCAAAGGCTCGCCCAATTCGAAATGGCGCACTTTTCTGCACTTTTCTGCTGACCAAATAGGCACCATAGTAGTACCAGCATGCAAACATAGCGAGTGTGCTAGCATCCCACATCTGGTGTTGAAAGAACAACACCTACAGCAGGAATGAGCCCATCGATCCTTTCTTCGGCCAAAGAACGGGATTCTGAAAACATGTCATGTCAGAACGGGGGCAAACTCTGCCTCTGACTCTCCATATCCTGTCTTTTCCGCCGATGTGATTCGCTCATTACTGATTACCGATTTGTTTTTCTCTCGGCAGTTAACATAACCAACACTGTTCGTTCTTGACGAGCTTGGGGATGAACCCACGCAGCCGAACGAATATCGGACAACGGTTGTTTCTTGCGATGAGGATAAAATGAGGGACGCTTTCAACGGCTACGAACTACAGGAGTGAGAGTAGTTAGTTGCCATGACTTACTATTCTGGCGGCTGTTCGAGGTTCCAGGACTCAGCACCCATGTTTGGTGAGTGATATGGTCATGCGTGACGGGACGCCGGAAAGCGACGCGTGACAAGCAATGTTTGAGTGACTTGGGAAATCACGGGGCGTCATCCCCAGAATTCCTTGTTGACCAGCCAGACTAGACAGAGTAGATTGCCAGGGCCAAAAAGAGGTTCAGGCAGACCGCACTGTTTGATGGAGCTTTTGTGGACTTCACGCCCAACCCAAGCACCGAGGACATGGGTGCCTACGGCTATGACCGAAAAACCAACATTGGTGAACTCTTGCTTCGCCTCAGCGACGCCCTGTTGGACTTACAAGCGAGTAGTGGAGCCGGGTATGAGGTGATGTTGCGCACTGGGATGACGAACCCGCCTTACATCATGCAGCACCTGGAAAGTGTCGCATGGCTAAGGGCACAGATGGTCTGGACGATGTTGAACTTATTCCGCTTAGGGAAGTCTGATTAGAAATATCGTGTTAATGTCACGATGGCTATATAGATAGACCAAGGGTCATTGAACACCTCCCGGTGCTGGGCTATGATAAGCCTGTCAAGACGATAACGTGTCCTCCTTGACTCCATGACAAGGCGGCCCAAAACAACAAAAATTGGGGTCTGAAAAGTGCCTGAACATGAACAAGTGGTTCAGAGTCATCGCCCTCGAAGAACAAGAAACTATTAGGAACAAAGGGCGTCGCTACTAGTAGCAAGGACGCTGTTAGGGGTTCCTGGCCGTACTACTAGGAACAAGAAACTACTATAGGAACAAAGGGCATCGCTACTAATAGCAAGGACGCTGCTAGGGGTTCCTGGCCGTACTACTAGGAACAAGAAACTACTAGGAACAAAGGGCATCGCTACTAGTAACAAGGACGCTACTGGGGCAACATTGTTCACAATTTATTCGTTTGGCACATGCTGTTACGCACGTGACATTCATTGAACACATGCCTTTACCACCATGTAAAATACATGTGTGAGACGCGTGCCTAATGACAAGGTTGGAACATGGCAGGTAGACCTGTCAAGATTTGCCATCCCAAAGGGCAATGGAAAACCAGGGACATCCGATCGCCTGGAACTGGCATGTTGCACAATTGTATTTCCAAGAACATCCAAAAACCAAAACAAAAGAAACAATCGAAGTTCGAGGAATCTCTGCCTGCGCATGCAGGAATCTAAACCTCACCATTCCAATCAAAACCCTAGTTACTTCGGGATTTGCAGACTGCGGAGAGTGCTGATTGCCTGATGTCTCGGTGTTTCGATGTGTTTTCTCTTCCCCAACGTGTCCCGTTCCGCGCCGCACATCCGAAGCCGAAGCCTTTTTTCGAGGTCGTCGAAGCCTTGCAGCGGCCCAACGTGTATGGCTTCATGCATGTGCCCGTACAGTCGGGCTCGGACGCGGTGCTCAAGGCCATGAAGAGGACGTCATCATCCGAAACGATGCAATCAATGCTGTGGAGCCATGTGGGGAGTGTTTTGGGATTTTCCGATTTGACTTCACTAGTCATCAATAGTCAATGCTCAGTATTTGTAGCCAAGGCACTGGTGTTTCAAGGCCAATCTATGATAGCAGTCATCGCTTGTTTGGAAGTTTGGAATCAATCAACAGGCACGTGGTGCTGTTTTTGGAGTACAGCTCATGACAGCTCATAACGGCCTCCAACCGGCGCCAGGAAGTATACAGTGTCCGAGTTCATGCATTTGGTGGAGCGCTTGCGGGAAGGTGTCCCTGACATTTATCTCCTCACTGACATCATTTGCGGCTATCCCACTGAAACGGAGGAGGACAGTTCGTGAACCGGGCTGGGGGTCGCTGGTTTGAGGCCCACGCTTGCAATTATTGTATTGCTTTGCACACGATTCATGTGCTTCCATTTTTGCCCACAAGTGGTTTGATCAACCTTATTTACTTCCAGCAGGAGTATGTGAACCGAGGTGCACTGAAGCTACCAGTGGAATGCATTGATCCTTTCAATTACAGCCTGTCACCTTCCTTCACATGAGTTGAACCCCCCAACCTTTCTTCACCAATTTCTTTGATGTGTGTGCTTGGCTCGACCAGTCGAGCCTCTGACACGCCACTCTGAACAGGACTGGCAGAGGACGTTGGACTTAGTGAAGCGCTGCCAGTTCCATGGCGTGGCTTGGATGGATTCTGAGGCCACCTGAACCTTCCTTTGGTACCAAAAAACATGCTCGAGGCTTGTAAATATGAAGGTTCTACAGAGAAATCCGTTGTGCACATTTCGGTGCACATTTTTTGGGCATCATCTGTGCACATGTCATATTTCCATGTGCCCAGATGGTGCCACAATTGATCCAAGATGACCATGAAACAAAACAGAAATCAGAACCCCAGGAGCAGCACTGGATTGGTCAATTGTGTGGTTGGCTGATATTGGGGGAAGGGCTTAGTGGCTTAGTTGACCTTGCTTGTCACAGATCACACAAATGCATCGGGCAAAGAACAACATGCTGAGCTTTGGCTTCTACCCCCGCTCCAGTCCTATATTGTCATTGCGATCTCATTGCTTATTGTTTAACCTGATCATCAACCTGCCCTGAATAAACGATTGAATTCCAGGATGTTCTAGGACATTCATCATCGGCTTTTCTTTTGCGTCAGAGCGTTACATGTCTTGCATGACAAGTGCTTTTGCCCATACTGAAGCTGGGACAGTTTCTATAGGCACACCGACTGAGGTTTGACTGGCACCAGGGTCAGACTACCGAGGTCAGAGTGGACTTGTCATAGGGGAGTGTTACCTTGCAAAAACGAAGTGTCATATGAATTCTAGAGCCCAGACATGACTTCTGTCTCATAGATGGCCTTTTACTATTAGTTGGTTGATTGATAGAGAGGATAGCCTCAAGTGTACAACCAATAGGTACGTGGCACCAAACCGACCCATCTATTCTTCCCAAAAGGACACCACTGCTCTGTCTATTTTGTTTTTCAAGCTATCGGAAGGTTTGCGACCCGCTAGCTGAAGACATGACTTCATTTGACTTCTGTTTTTTGATATATAGGACCTTTGGCGCTAGACTTATGGGTCGTTTCTGCTTCGGTCACCCGGACCCGGACTCCACTGCTCTCCGACCAGAAGCGCCGACCGACCGAAAGCGCCGACGAAGCGCCAGGTGTACTCCTCGCGCTTCTTCGCCCGCGCGGGGACGCCCGCGGCGAGGCTGAAGCAGCTGCCGCACGCCGTGACCAAGCGACGCGACCCGGCGACCGCGGGCAGCGCGATCGGAGGTTCTGCACCCTTTGTGTTTCTCGGGCCGAAAGGCTGAAGATCCTGGGAACCAGCAGAAACCCTAAAACCCTAAAACCCGACTGGAGAAAAGGTCTCTGAAATGGGTCAAAACTGGGACATCCATGGAACAGACCTACCTCCTCAGTACGTTTCAACCCCTCACCCTAGTTTGGTGTTTCTATGTTGAACCTGTATCTGGTTTGGGGACACCCGGGTTTTGACCCACCAAATCGGTGGCTGAGAGGCTCACGACCAAGTTCACGACCTACCCTTTTGGGGCTTGTGCAAGATGACAGCGCAAGATGACCACTAATGGGACAACTAACGGGACAGAGTTAGTTGTCCCATTAGTGGTCATCTTGCGCTAATGGGAGTTCGTTTCGTCAACTCTGTGGGCTCTCTCCGATGATCCAGCGCCACCAGGGTGCCACCAGCGCCGGTTCAGGCAGGCTTGTAGGTCACGCAAGACTTGTTGAACTCCTGGACATGGTCCATTGGTGAAGCCCACCACACTCCACCGCCGTGGCTCATCAAACTTCTTCAAGGGGCCCAAGCAAAAACTCCATTGATCACGGATTGATCATGATGCAACAGGGGTAGGGAAAGGGGAGAAGGCCCAACGCTGAGGTGCTATATCGATGTCTTTAGAGCAGATGAACCTCTTGTTTCTTTTCCCCTTGGGATGAGTCTGAGGTTCTACACGAAGTACTTACAGTAGTCCTCCCATCCATTGATAGTCAAAAAAACGCTGATCATATTTGTCTCTTGACCTTCATAATCCTCCATGTGACATTGACGATTGGTTGGGGGAGAATCACCCAATCCATGCACCGTGCATCGACATTCGGCCCTTTTGACCGATCATTCAAGCGTCCTTTGCCACGCAGCCACGCGGGTCGTGGTCGCTGAGGCTATCAGGAGTTGTCGGCCTTGGAGGCTCTCAAGGTGGACCGCTACCTGGTGTTGCTTATAATGGTGAACATTGTATTAGTTTGACCCGAACTGGGTCAATCAGGCGCTGCGCTTGACTGCTCTGTGCGCAATTTGAAAGTGAAAGTGAACTGGGTTAATCCGCTGACCTGGCGAATCTGTTTCATTCTTTCTCCGGTGCCTGGACAGCACATCCAAGGCTTTGCGCCCCTGCTGCACCGCCGCGAGCGCGTGTGGTTTGCCGGCAGCGACGAGGCGCGGCAGCAGACGCTGGGCCGGACGAAGAACTTTGCCAAGGCTGGACGAAGAGATGCCGGCGGCTTGGGACGGTGCCACGGAGGAATTTCCAGGGGATGACGGGTTTGTGATGAGGGTTTGTGCGTTCTTTTCTTCCCCATCTTGGAATGTATTTATATCCCAATTAATTGATCACAGCTCTGGGGGGGAATGGGTCCTCCTCACCGAGGCTGTTCATCCGGCAGTTCAGCTGCTTGTTACATGCCTTCACTGTGTTTGACATCACCGGACATTCACCATGTCCAGGATTCACTGTGGAGCCGCGCTTCACCTCATCCAGGTTTGGTCACGCGGAATGCCGTCTTTGTCTTCGATCAACCCGATTCCTTGGGCCTATTGCCCGTTTAACGGTCGGCAAACAATTATATACCAGCTTCTTCGAAGAGACCTTTTGAAGGTTCCTATAAGTGACCCTTAGGAGGCTTGTTTGTGACCTCAAACCAGGTTATCAAAAGGTCACTTTGAAGAACCAGGTATCTACTACTACTTTAGAGAAATAACTTTACCAAGCATCATCATCCACTGGTCATGGGATAAGTTCCAACCGATTCCAATCAAGTCTACCCCCCCCGAAGTCTACCTGCAATGGAAGTCGATCATCCACAACCGACCTTGTTGGGGTGGACGGTGAGGCGGAGATCGAAGCGAGGGATGCGTCGATTGGTCCAGCGACTCCTGAGATCGATCTCAAGACCTGAACAACACCGGAGATCGAATCAGGGCCCCGGTTTCCGTGACCATCTCATACCTTCAGGCTTTTGAAGAGGACCTCTTAGCAGCTAATAGCAGTCCCATGCAGTTGGAGTCCCCACTGCGGCCATTGAGTTGATTAGAGAACGCCGGTGCCCTGGTTTGTTTTCACCCCAGACACTCCATCTGCACCTTATGGAATATCTGTCAGCGCAATTTCAGTTCTTGTTCTTTTTCTGGGATAGGATGGAATTCCATTCATCGGTCCTGTCGAAACAAAAAAAACATGCTTTCAGAGATGGCACTGGCACCCCCAAGACGTCCTTTAGATTGGAGTCTGTAGCATCTACTCTCAATCCAGTTGTGAAAATCTGACACCCTCACGACGGCCGTTCGCGGGGTTGGGGTCCTTTCGCCTTCTGTCTCCTAAACATCAAAACATCAAGATTGGCAAATTGGAACTGTAGCCCTGGGAGTCAAAGACCATTAAAACAATGGTTGACCTGGTTTTTGTATTGTAAACTCCTTAGTTGATTGGGTAAAGCCTATTAAATTAATGGTTGTTGGACGCCTAGGGGTAGGTCTTCCTGCGCCCAGTAGATCCATGATCCACTGCCTCTCGACGCTTCCTGCGCGAGCCCGTGGTGCGCTGTAGAAAGGTGGTGGTGCCGCGCGACGATGCGCTGCTGGGGCGGAGTGCCATGGTGGAGATCACCAAGACTTCGGTGCAGCATGTGCCTGGAATAGGTGGGCATTAAGGCAGAGTGAGGGGTGGACATCTGAGATTCAATCCAGCACCTTCAAAGGGGTTACCAATGGAAGCCCCTACACTACCTAGGGATCTCCATTGGACACCCCTTTGAAGCTCCAGGATAGAGTTCATGTTTTGGTATATTTCTTTTCGTTTCGTTTGCCTTTCTTGTTGCCTAGACAGCCATTTGGCTCGGTAGGAAGACGCCAGGGACAGAAGGCGGATGGATCACCGGCGGGTTTGGATGGACAGAGGATTCAATGCTCCAAGTGTTTCGGGGTGACGCCACAAGGTCAATTCATGGTAGGGTGGTAGGTGGATAGGGTGGTCAGAAGACTCAGTGAAGACGAAACCAGTCTCCGGAATGCCGAGCGGTTTCATTCTGTTTCTGTTGGCCAGGGGGGTGCGTTGGCCAGCGGTTTCATTCTGAAAGCGTTGAGGATGACCACAAAAAGACTTTGACATTTTGTACCGATCATGGAAGTGGACGGCCTGACCCTCTACACACTGGGGGTGAACTCCACGTGGAATGATTGTTGGAGGGTAGACTTTAGATGGGCTTTCCTTCAATCAAAACATGAAGTCTCTTTGGAAAGAAGTCTCTTCAGGACACCAGGTGAGAGCCCCCTTTCGTTGGGTGGTTTTCGGCTGTACCCCAGCCACCAAGGTTGAGGGGCACGTGATCCAGTGAGCTGAGTGGAGCGAAAAAAGAGTGGCAGATCGGGGCAGATCGGGACATGATTGTTGAATACCTGAATCTTCCAACACTGCAAGATGTCTGCCGAACTTGGCTGGTTGCACATGTTGTCATAGTCGTCATCAGCAAGTTTGTGTTCGTATGCATCTTTAACTCAACCACAAACACGTTTTCTCTTCTTGAAGTCTTTTGACGACAGCAGGTCACACGACCTAAAGTAAACATAGCAGTGCTTAGTGGGGCTACTCAAAGAATGACGCCACACTTCTAAATGTACCTCGCGCTTCCAATGGGTGCCCAATGGAGTACCTACAAGATCCTACATAAGTATAGTATAGTATTAGGATGTATTAGGGTTGTCCATGGGTGACTCTGTGCAGAAGCAGCTGGTATGAGCTTCGCAGCTGTAAACCACCTGTGGAGCAAACTTGCAGGACCCTCAGTGCAAGAGGCCGCGGCCCGGGAGGATGGGATGGGTGGTTCATCTGGATGGCCACGAAGGAGAGCCGGCCATCCACCCTAGTTGTTGTGGGTGGTGTTGGCCTCTAAGACGGGTTCAAGTCAAGACATCCTGAGTTGTTGGTCGAATCTGCTTACCTTCTTGCTCCCTTCGGCGACGTAGGTGGGGTCCTTTTTGTCGTTGTTTTGCTCCACGTTATTTAAAGTTCACTCCAATCTTATTTAGTGTTTAAGTAATTTTGCTGAAGCACCGCCGTTGGTATAAATCCCAAACACTCCATGTACCCGTACCTGGTGCATGAGTGACCTCAGTTTTGAATATGCCTACATTGGGCCCTGGAACCTGGGATTGGAACGAGGAATGTTTTGCATGTCACACGGAATTTTGCAACTAAGAATTGCCAAGTGGTGTTGTCGACGTCAGGTGGTTGGGTACATCAATTTCAAGTGTCAGACTTCTTCAACAACATTCAGAATCTATAGTGACTATTGTAACTGCATCTCATTATCCACTCACTTAGGGACAAGCCAAACCACCAGGCCCTCCATGTGACTCGTATAGAACCACGGTGAAACTGGCATCCAGACTTGCACGGTCCTTTTGGTGACTGCAACGTAGAGAAGTGACTACCAGTCACGTGGAGGGCCTGGTTTGCCTCGTCCCATCCAGCCGTCTTGGATGTTCTGAGCACCCCAGCATTCGGAGGACCCCTCCGTGCAGAACAAAACGGCACCACCGAGCTAAAGCCACCTGGGACTCAGCGCGATCCTTTTGCACAGGGATTTTGGAATCCATGAGATCAAAACGCATCAACTGATCCGAACTGAACATACCCTACCACTGAACCACATCCTATAGCTCCGTTTGTGACACCGATGTCCCTCTACGCCGTACCCCTCCTCGCGCCTCGCGCTGTACCTTGCGGCTCTCCTCTCGCCTCGCTGCTCAGCCAATGACCGGCTTCCCCAAACACCTGGGTCGGGCCTTTGCCCTGTGGCAGAACAAGGTGCGCTGCGCCTGCCACCACGTGCGAAGACACGCGGGACACGCGCAGGTGTTTCGGCCACAGGTGTATTTTTGGCAACAAGTTTGTTTGTTGCAGCTGCAGGGTCAAACACTTTCAAGCGAGCTGTTCGAAGAGTGGAGAAGTCTGAATTAGGCACTAAGGTGTGGGATGGGTGTGGGAGATGCTTATTTAATTTAATCGAAGTAAACATATTCAGGACCCAATCTCATCATAAATGTTGCAGGCACATCGTAAGGGGCTAGAAAACTCCCTAATATATTCATGGAAGTGGAGTTCACCACCTGTTTGTAGGACAATTTTCATCCAAGGGGCCATGGCATCCACTTGTGTACATGCCCTGAGATACATCCAAACATAGATCATCAGGAAAAGAGGCGGGCTTTGGCACCGTCTATGAAGATGCAGCAACTCTATGCAGCAAAGCTTTTTGTGGCGAGTGTTGCTAGTCAATGGTTGTCAAAACGAAAGCACCGAATGCTCCTCCCTTTCTTCTTTGTTCACTTTTCGAGCGCGTCCGCGTTATCACAAAACCCTAAGGGTCCCTTTCTTCCATCCGATGCTGGGAAGTCCCGGCCCCCGATCTACCGTACGAACACTGGTAGACTCGTCCTCGTACCTGGACCCGCGGTGAAGACTTGACTTGTTGGAAGAACTTTGGGGAGAGCATCTTAGTCCGATTCCAAAACCACGGAGAAACACCCCACCCAACATGTATACACAAAACGTGTAAAGGAAGACCAACGCGAGAAAAGTAACTCCTCATTCGATACAACTCGTCGCCGCACCCGAAACAAAACAAGGGTTTTGAGGGGCCCCAAACCCTTGGTATAGAGGGTTCGACCCCTTCTAAGGAGAGTCCAAGGATCCTTAGGGCAGAAGTCATGAGTGCTGTAAGAAAGGCGCTGACTGTGGTCGTGTCACTTGCCTGGGAAACAAACATGAAGTTGTTTTTGGAAGTTTGATACTTGAACAGTCAAGGGGGGAATGTTATCCTCCGACCCAGGATTTTCCATCCCCAACATGGTGAAGACCGTTTGAGCACTTTTCCCAACAAAAGGGTCGCTGAAGGGCCAAACTGCTTATTGGAAGAACCACCTGAGATGAGGGGGTGCATGTTGGCAGGTGCATGATCTCACTTTTCAGGCAAGATCACAAAATCAACAGTTGAGCTCATGGCTAGTCCCGCACGTTTGGATTTGAAAGTGCAAGCAGTTCTGCTGCCACTGCCCGAATGGTCCATTCCCTCACGGTTCTCCGCGTCCGCGCACGCACGCATCCCGCCATCAACACCTGCACACGAGGTGGTGTCCAACAACTTTGCGGGGCTTGGCCCGGGCAAAGGGCCTCCCGTCCTGCGCTACGGAGAGACCTGCAGCCCCTCGGACGACTGGTGGTGGTGGCCTTCGTTTGTGCTTCGGGCTCCAACCACATGCGAGAAGCTTCGGTAGTTGGGGTGGGCTGAGGGGGGTCGGATGGTGTTTGAGCGAGTTTGGCAGCGGTCTCGCGGGTCGTGTGCAGTGACTGCGCCGCGACCAATTCTGCGGTCAGGATGAGCCGTTGTATGTCGCATGCGGGACGGAGTTGCACCTCGAAGTTTTGGACCAACTGGAGGCGTCGAAGACCCCATGCATGTCCATGTTCTTTGATCGAAGACCCCAATATTCAAAGAACGACGGTCGTTGAACGACTGTCCATGTTCCAACCCGACCCGACACATCTGAGGATTGAACCAATGTTTTGGGTGGGGCTTTCCCTGGTTAGAAGGGAAAGAGGAAGGAGGCCGACCCTGACCCCCAAGTGGTAAAATTAGCAAGAGACTTAATTATTTGTCCATCAGTTGATCACCAAGAATGAAACAGACTACCTGACATGGTCAACCTACCTTGGGGCTCCAGGTGCGACCAGCCATTGCTTTGGCGAATTCATGCGATACATCGGTCCGACCGTCAGGTCGCGAAGGTCAGAATGTGGACGTGGCCCGGGGGCCCAGCGACGCGGATCGGACCAGAGATCCAGCGACAAAAAGATCCCTAGCTAAGCAGTGTAGGGTAGTCCTTTCGACATCCGGATGGTCCTGGTGGTTTGTTCAGGGTTTGTATTTCAGCCCTGGACTATGGTAGACTATGGTAGAAGGTAGACTGGTCGATTTTCTGAAGCTTCCGGTCGGGACGCCGGGTGGGAGGCCGAAAGCAACACATCCTCACCCAGATTTGAGATGTTTAAAAAAAATCCCTAAGAACCATTAAGAACCCCTAAGAACCCCTAAGAACCCCTAAGTGTGTCCACACTGTTTGGGGAAAAAGCCTTATCACGCAACCTGAGACAATCCATGTACGTGGATGGCATGGCCTGACAGACCATGAACGCCTCGACTAGAAGACCATGGGGGCTCTGTGGCCGGCGAAACCCTGCTTCCTAATCAAGTACTTGACGTGGTGCGGAGAATACACACCCTGAAATCATTCTGGATGTCATATTGTTTCCACCTGTTTACCAAAGCTACTGCAATTTCCCCAGTTGCTCGACGCCAAGCCGCCGATCTGATGTTGCCGAGGCAAAGGCAAGCATTTGCTCCGGCACATGCGATCAAGACCTGTACACATGTTGTCATGAACATTCACGAACAACAATCAACTGCTGAGGCAACCAATCCTAAATCTTCATGGTACAGGCTAGTATATGCAAATTTGCCATCGACATTGAATATGACTTCAATCCTGCATGTCCAAATAGTCTCTAACTCGGCCCTTGGAAAGAAGCACCACGTTCCCACCAGATGCTTCTGCCCCTGTAGAAGTCCAGTTCGAACCAAATTTGGCACCACCCACGTAAAGGAAGCTCCTTTTGGGGTCTCCTCGTCAGAAGATTGTTTTAACAATTCTAACTATATAGGCTTGGACTTCCAGGGTTTGCAATGCCTTCAGTCCCTCCCCAAATCCATCTATAAGTGGGCTTTTGTTGCGACACCTTCGCGGTCGAACCGCCGCCTTCCGTGTTCGGCGCCGACTGACAGTTCGGCGCCGACTGAAATCGGTCGCTTCACATCATCCCGACCACCGGAGGTCCTTCAGCACGTGGGCCACTATCATCCGCAGATCGTGGGCCTTAACGGCCTCAACGGCTCCTATGCCGCAGCACCCATCGGCGTCCGGGATGCCCAGCGATGGCAGGGAGGGGCGCTATGTTGAGCAGCGCGACGAGGCACGGTGGTTGGGTGAGCGCTGTTTAGCAAGGCGACACACAAAAGTGGGCGATCTCCATGGGTTTATGTAGTAACTCAAGTACCAGCACCCGACTCTACAGGTCTCCGAAATGGCGGCTTTTGGAGATCGACTTAAAAGTCGCAGGTGGTGACTTGGCAGGCTTCAGGTGCTGGTATACGCTGTATAGGTTTCTAGATGCCCCCCCAACATCCCAAGTTTATAATGCATGTTGGAAGGTGGACCAGATGAGTTAGCAAGCAACTGTGGGAGGCGAGCACCTGTGACGTTTCCGATTCCGGTACACTTTGGCTCTGGGTTA